TCTAGTGCTTGGGAGGCTGAGACAGGAGGATCCTGGTGAGTTCAAGGCCAGCCTGGGCTACATAGTGAGTTCAAGGTCAGCCTGAACTACACAGTGAGACCCTGTCTCAAACTGCCATCCCGTCAAAAAAATGTTTTTAAAGTAAATAGTCCAAATGAAAAATTAGTAAACAACATAGAAGGGTTAAGGACAGCAACAAAGAGACACAAGTTGTCATTACACAGAAATTTTCAAACTCAGTCGTGATAACATTAGACTAAGAAAGGCTATTTATTTATTTATTTATTTATTTTTGGTAGGGGTGGGGTGGGGTATTGAACTCGGTCCTAGTGCTTTGCGCAGCAGGTAGCGAAACCACTGAGCTAAATCCCCAGCCCCAAGGCTATTTTTTTTAAAGAAAGACTATTTTTTGCTTTTTAAATTGGAAAAAAATGTATGAGGATCCTGATGGGAAAGGCTGGAAACCAGGAAGCCTTGTTCTGGAGCGGGTGGGGGGCATTTAGTTAGCTTTTATTTTTTTAACAGGAAAAGTTGTTCAAGCTCATTTAAGTTTAAAGAAGTGGGTTATCATGACAATTAAGGGCTCCGTGTGATTATTGATTGGATCCGGATAAGGGGAAAATCAGCTATAAAAGACTTTATTGGGACAATTGAGGCCATTTGAATACAGACTGCACATTATATCATATCAATGGAAGCTATCTGGGGAATGACAACGGCCCTGCAGTCCTTGTGTTTGGTTATTTATTTAAGGGTGCAAAATCATGAGTTGGCAATTTACATTCAAATATTATGGGGCAGAGCCTCTATCTCTTCTCCCAGCCCAGGGACAGTCTGCAAATATAGATGGAGCATCTTTGGGTTTTCACTGAATGGTCTATTTTTCAACTTCCCAGGGGCTTTGGAAATTTTCGAAACAAAAATTTGAAAGCAAGTGTAAGCTATGAGATTAGTTTGATCCATGGTGGTGTATTTAATTTATTTACTTTTGGGAAGTTTCCTTCTCTTACGCGGGTTGGCTTGGAACTTGTGGACTCAAAAGATCCTCTATCCAGAGTAGCTGCAGATGCACACCACCATGCCAGGCTGAAGAATGGTATTTTATTTCTAAAAGGTAGAAGAGCAGGGTGCGGTGGAATCCCAGCACTCAGGAGGCTGAGGCATGAAGATTGCCATGAGTTCGAGGCCAGCTCATCTACATGGGAAGATCAAGGCCAGCCTGAACTATATAGCTGGACCCTGTCTCAAAAAGAAAAAAAAAAAGATACACACTGTTTTTGGATACACACATTTTTTAAAAAAGGCTGGAAGGACCATATTCAGATAGAGTGCCTATCCTCGGCATTGGTAATTATTCATTTCGTTTTCTTTCCTTCTTTTAGAAACAGTAAAGGAAATAATAAATATTCAGATGAATCAGCAAATTCAAATAAGCAAAAAGAACAAATGGAAATCAAGATTGATCTCACAGAGAGGCAGGTATTTGAGTTTGCTGTGTTCCTTGGAGTGTTGCCAGGCTTCTAAAGGACTCTGCTTCTTTCTGCCCCAATTGGACCCCCCAGTCACACTGCAGGAGCAGCTTCCTGTCTTGCGCAGAGCGCAGCTTACCCCTGACCATGCACCCTTGGGCTGGGTGGTCCATGTCGCTCGCAGCACTATCTACAGCACTACCTACTTGGCCGGCTGGCCCTTCCTGTGATAAGGATGACTCTCCCGGTACCTCCAGTGAGTTCACTGGGGCTAAGTGCTGTTCTAAATTCTTTCTACATGTTAAACCCCTTCCATCTACACCCACACGGACAGGAGGACTGCTCCTGTTCTGCAGACAAGCATTCGGAGGATCCAGACAGCCCAAGCTGGTTCCAAAACACTGCAGTCTTCCATACCGAGTCACTCAGTGCCGGGGAAACCGCTGCCCTGGCTCTCTGAAGAACTCAACGTCCGGGACCATGACTTCTCCTGAGGGGAGCTTTATCCCGAGTGTGGCTGGCACAGTCATGTTCATGGGACCTTCCAAAGCCCACACAGCTGGGCACTGCCTATGCCGTTCTGTCTTGGCCTCCTGGCTGCCCTGTGGTCACCTGGGAGAGGTGGTGGCATCTACAGAGCATTTTTCCAAGAACCCCTTCCCCATTAATCACTGAGTTCCTTAGGTGGGAGCAGTGCCAGGCCAAGTTCCCATCCATCCTGCTAGTGTTTCTATGTGTGCACGTGTGTGTTTGTGCTAGTTCCTCTCACAGTGCAGTAAATGAGTCTTTCCCCCTCCAGTGTTAAAAATAAACAGATCTTGAAAGTGAGTTGCTAGAGATTGGTCAATACCATATGCAAATAAATAAGTGCTAATTGCCCACAGCGTCTTTGGGTGTCAGGTGCAGTTATTGGACCACATTTATGGGCCAATTAGGTGCCTTACCGGACTTTAGTGGTGATAAATTGTGGCTTAGCGGCTTCTTAGAATGTGCTGCAGACGGCGGGCCAGCAGGAACTCCCCCACTCAGCAGGCAGCAGCCTAGGGTGTGGGGGGCAGCCTTTTCTTTGCTGTGCAGCTGTGCAGGGATCTGCCCCGTCACTGCACACACTGGTCAGGGTGCAGCAGGGACCTGTGTGAGCCCGGGCTGGGGACCCAAGGTGGCCTGAGAGCAGTGGGGCCTGGGGTGGAGCCCTGGGACCTGGGACTCAGGCCCTAGTCAGGGAGGGCAAGGCCAGTGTGGCCCCAGCACTGGTCACTCCAGGGATGCTGAGCTGGGCTCTGGGTACCTGGACAGACCCATGGCCAGGAGCTCATGGGAGGTGCAGCAGAAGAGAGAGAGCAGGGCAGGAGCATCTCAGAGGAGCATCCTGGAGGTGACACACAGGAGCAGGAGACTTGGCAGAGCCGGGAGGTGCGGGAAGGCCACCGTGAGGAGGGGCATGCTCCCGAGACCCCAGGGGCAGAGAGAACTGGCCCACACAGTGGGCTCTCCCAGGCAGAGCTCTGAAGCTGAGCAGCGGGGCTCAAGCTGGGGGTGCTGGGGACCCTGATGCTGGGGGGAGGGAGGGGTCCCCTTGGCGGTCTGGATGGTGCGTTCAGAATAACAGAGAGCTGGGGCAGCCAGGTCAGCCCCCGGGAGGGTGATGCGGAGGAGAGGGCGTGGGACCAAAGGCCATCTGGTGTGCAGACTGCCTGGGGGCCGGTGTGACCTGTAAGTTCAGGTTCCCTCCTTAGCTGAATGCCTCCTAATTTTTAATCAATTCGTTTCAGCATCAAAGTAGTTTATGAATCAATTAACCAATTGTCTCACCAATTTGAGCCTGAGCGGGCAATAGATTAATAAACAACCCAACTACTTTCTTCAAAGTCAACGGCCAACTGTGAATGAACTTCAACATACTCCTGGATTCCCAGGCTGGGTGTGGTGACCGCAGGCCTTTATTCCCAGCACTTGGTGAGGGTGAGGCAGGAAGACGGCCTTCAATTTGAGTCTAGCTTGGGCTAGATAGAGTTCAAGGCCAGCTTGGACTATATAGCAAGAACTTGCCTCAAAAGAAAGCGTCTGGACAAAAGTAGTATAGTATAAAATCTGTTATATATCATACATACAGAAATGTAAAGTTTAAAGAAGTAAATAAAAACCACCCCACAGAGACACAGTACTGTTCACAGTTCGGATTTTCTTCCTGGATATAAAAATAATAGGGATCAGTTTTATAGGTACTGCTGTATCCTCATTTTAAAATTCATATCATTTTCTCAGGTGATAAACATGGCATGAAGTGATTATGCTTCCCCGTTAGAGAGGAACCGCAGTTTATGTCACCATCTCCCTATTGCTGGAGTTTAAACTGGTTTCCCGGTTTGGTGTAAACACCGCTGTGGTGCACATCTTCACACTGGACCTTGGCCGGACCCTGGGCATGGGTCCACTAGGGCCAAGGACACTTGTAGGGACCCTGTTGTGGGAAAGGCTTCTGGGATCTGAGGACGACATTCTGGGGGCCATGGACCACCCCGTCTGGCAACCCCAAGGTGGCCTGGCCAGCCCCAGCAGGATCGCCTTCTGATCATGCACTCAGTGTTAACTTCGGTATCCAGCCAAGAGTGCTCCCCAGAGCGTGTGGTGCAAACGCCACGGCCTGGGAAGATGGCTGGGTCCCAGAGGACACTCCGAGGTGTGGTCAGATTCCGGCATGGCGGTGGGGACAAAGCCCAGGGTGGACGGGGGTGGACAGGCCGCTGAGGAGCAGCAGGGCTGGGGAAGCCTGCCCACCTGGCCCTCCGGGAAGGGAGTGTCCATTGCTGAAATGCAGTGTGTGGCCTGTGCACGAAGAGCCACCAAGAGGCCGGAGGTCACCAGAGCCTGGCCGCACAGCAGCACATTTCCTAGATGCCCTTGTGGCCAGAGTGACCATCGGTATGGGCAGCCACTCGCCCACTGGAGGGGCCTACTCAGACACCCCTTCCTTCCCTTCTCTGCTTCCTTCCGGAAAGCAGCACCGCAGACCCCGGCTGACCAGGGTCGGGAGGGCCTGGACCTGCATGGCATCCAGCTGCACAGCTAGCCCCTGGCTGCCCGCCCCGGCGTTCCTGGAGAAAGTCATTCCTTACCCTTTGCAGCTGCTCTGTTCACGTTCCCAGAGGCCCCACCCAGCAAAGGTGGAAATGCACCGATTCCTCTGGCCTCTGCTTCCTTTCCTAGCTGCCTGCTGTGTCCCTGCCATTCACTAGGGCAGGGAGGACAGGGCTAAGACACACGCAGAGCCCCTGGGATCTCTGAACCCAGCCTTTGCTGGAGGACGGAGCCCTCAGGGGCCCAGGGCGCGGGACAGTCGCTGGCCTGTGGTCTCAAGTGCTTGATGTTTCTGTCCCTGTTTGGGGACAGCGCCCGCTGCGAGTCCTGTCCCTGTGAATAAAGCAAAGAAACCCCTACCTTGAGACAGACGAGCACCGCCACAAAACAAAACAAAACAAAACAAAACAAAACAAAACAAAACACCAACACAACTCCCAGAAGCGGCGTAGACATATTTTCGTTTCTTTATTGGAAAGAGGTCTCTACACTACAGCCACCTCTCTCCGTTACCTTACAGTTTCCTTTTTCTTTCCCCCTAGAATACTGTACAGCTGACACAGAAATCCCAAGGCAGGAAAACACAAACTGGCATATTTAATCCAAACAAGATCATATGAAGTAACAAGCAAAGTGAAATGTCTGTCAATGGTTTTAATTACAGTACAAACAATATAAATAAAGCATCATCGAGTCATTGTGAAACATGAAGTTGCTGAATGAGGTAATATAAAAAACAACCTAAAAAACCAAAACCCACCCCATCTCTACATAAACCCCCGGCTGCTCTTCCTCTTCTATACATGGCTATTTACAGAAACAGGACAGGGTGCTAAAAGGTGGCCCCTGGATTCCCCTGCTGCCACCCAGAAATGCGGCTGTCCCCGCCGGCTGCTCCCAGGGGTTGGGGACGCCAAGGAATGCTGGAGAAGGGAGCGGTGGGCGCCTCCCATGCCCATGCTGGGGCTCAGCCCAGGGGTTGTGCGGAGCTGGGGTATCAGGGGGTGCTTCCCTCCTCTGCACCACAGGAAGCAGTTTCTAAACACACCCTTTCTTACCTGATCCCGACTCAACTCCATTCTGGGGACAAAACTACTGGGACTGGGGGGCGCGTGGCCATGTGGTGAGCTCACGTGAGCAGGAAGTGAGAGAGCGAAGTCCTCACTGGCCCTAGCTCACGGCACCCGTGGTCCCTCCTCTGTCCCCCTGGCCTCACAGGCCAGGAAGACACATTCTTGCTGGCCCCCAGAGGAGAGTGGTGGCCCAGGGGGCCCCTTAGGCCCCACACCCCTTCCCTCTTCACGGTGGACCGGCTGCTGCAAGGCGGCCTTTCCAGTTCCAGAGCCAGCTGTAGCAGGCGCTTCCTGGGCCACTGTGCACACCGGCTAGGAATGGGGAGGTCGGGAGTCTAGCGTGGCCTGGGGCTCTGCTCCACGGGGAGACTTCCCAACACTCTCGCACTCCTTGGTTCGTTTCTTTCACCTGTGTCAAGACTAAGGCCGTGAACCCCTCCAGCTCGGAATTCCAGGTCAGTCCAGACGTTGGCAGGCGAGTCTATCGTATGGCTTGATTCACGACCCTCTGGGGGATCCCCTGCAGATGCAGCACACCAGGCCAAAATAAAAAACAAGCCCTGAGCCAACCTCGCTCGCTCGCTCGCTCGCGCTCTCTCTCTCTCTCTCTCTCTCACGTGGGCATCTTGCCTCGGACACAGGAGCACGGGGTGCCCACCTCCAGGCTTGAGCCTGCTGTGCGGGACACGGGGCCTCACACAGAGCATTTGTACTAGGCAGGAGCAAACCCCAGCCCAACTGCTGATGCTTCTTTGAAAGGAGGAGGATAGTTTACAATTACCTTTTCTATGACTGCTTTGGGTGGGTGGTCATAGCACTTAAATACTCCTAAAACCTGGGCTTGTAAAAACTCCAGAAGGAAAAAGAAGACTGGTTGGTTGTTTAGAATTCCTTTCCAGAATCTTCCATGGATGATTCTAATTTTAACTGTGACGCAGAATGCAAATCCAAGTTTCAAAAGCAGTGGACATACAAATTAAACAGGGACTCCACTCACATTTGAAGATCTATTTTCAGACAGTACTTCTTCCTTAAAGGGAAGAGCATTTGTTTGGAAACACTAAGGTCCAAGTTACTGTGACCGGGCTGCCTGGTACTGGTCTGAGAGTCAGGGACATTACATGTCTCAGGCCTAGCACTTCCTTCCTGGACAGCGATGGAAATGAAATCTGAAGACTGAAGCTTAGTAATTCATCTCCAAGTAGCTTGGCCCATGCCCTTCTCTCTTCTGCTTAACTGCAAGGGATTTGGTATTTTGGCTTGAAAAATGGTCTAATTTAGATGCTGAATGACAAGAATTCACCCAGGCAGGGCACTAAGCAGAGGAGAGGGCATATTGGAGGGTCAGCAAGGCCATGCAGGTCACCATGCCCAGTACCACAGCTGGGCATGCTGGCCAAGAGAGGACACTCAGGGGCCCAGAAGAGACCCACTCCAAGGGAGGAAGCATGGCGGATACCTGAGGCCCTTACTGAGCTTTCTGGTGGGTATGAGTCGAAAGCTACTTCCGGATGCGACTCCATAACACCAGAAACCAGACTATGGAGGCAGTGGGAGATAAATTCTTTTCCTCTGAAGGAAAAATGTGCATCTCTGGAACATTTGTACTCAAATTCCTTCCTGCTTTTCAATTTGCTTGAAGGCCATGAAGAACCCAGGAGAGTTCTAGAAAATTCTCTGTGACCTTGTGTGAGGCATGGAAACAGCAAGGGTGGGGAGGAGTGGTGGAAGAAAGCCCATCGAGAGGCAACGGTTTGCTTTCCAAACACCTTTGTGTCCTGAGCTCTTGGGCCCTGATGCTACCTCTTCTCAGAAGAAGCTATGGTGGGCTTCAACTTCCTCAGACGGGATGTGGGGAGTCCTCCTCATTCTCAGAGCATCCTAAATGACAGGGATGGTGGTCACCCCAGTAGCCAGATGAGCACAAGCTCACTGAGGGAGACAGAGGCAGAGAAGCCTAAGGCTACAGCCAGCCCAGTACTCTCCAGGGAGCTCTGACGTGCTGGGCAGGAGGAAGAGGACAGCAATAGGAATGTTCCAGCAGCCTCGTGGTTACCTGAGGTGCGGGAGAGCAGGGTCACCCTAGTCCCCAGGCAACACTAGCAAAAGGCAGGAGAGCCGTCCTCACCCCCTTCTCTACCTCTGGAAAAGCAGAGGGACATTCTGAGAGCAGAGGGCTGAGACAGCAGGAAGTGGGCAGCTTTGAATGGGGCCTCCATCATCCTCTGACTCTACTGCCTGCACACAGGGGCTTGAGAAAAGGCACCAGGGGCTTAGCAGAGAGGAGGGCACAGGCTTAACCATGCCGAGCTGTCACTGCCTGCCCAGGTGGTGAGGACCTGGTGTCAGGTAGGGGCAGGTCCCTGGGTGTGTACTCTATTCTTGATAAACATCCTGGTTCCCTGCATCTGTCTCCCAGCCAGGTGTGAGGCTGGCATTTTATCTCTCTGGTTTGGAACTCACTGCAAGCTTCACAGTTGAGGATGCTGCAGACACATCCTCAGGTGGACAGTGGAGCTGGGGGACTCTGGCTGCCAGGTTTCTTCCTTACCCGACCACGTTGTTCCCTAAGAAAGCAGCGACAGATCCATGCAGATCCAGGGAATGACACTAAAGTACAGACGGTACAAGACTGGGAACACTGGTGTCTACACTGCATGGCCCAGGATGGACCCAAAACTACCTCACTGGCCCGGGGAAAATCTTGCTAGATGCCCTGCGCATGTGCTGTGGAGTCCATTTCAGAGGCCCACAGGGAAGAGTGACTTGGGCTGGGACTGGAGCTCCAGCTCCGAGGTAGAGGGCTTGGGCACCATGTCCAGGGCCCTGGGTTCATCCCGCCCTCCAGGGTGACTCGCAGTCCACCCTCTTCTGTGTTTCTGGGCTATACAGACCTTGTGTTACCTCGTGGAGACGCAGCACTGCACGTTTTCGGGACCAAAGACCTAGGAACCTGTCACTGGCTTACTGCCCTGGAACCACCTGCCCACGCCATTTGTGAGGTCTGCACTCGTGGGACTGGGGTCAGAACCACAGCACCCTTCCCTCTGCAGGGCTTTCTTGGCGACTGGAGACCCAGCCGCCTCTGTGCCCCCCACTTGCGGTTTAGTGGCCCAGAAGCGGAACGGGTGCTGCCTGGACACCGGGAGGCGGTCCCTGTGCGTGTGGTGCTCGCGTGCCCTCCTAGTGGGCAGTTTCTCACTGTGAGAGGATTTGCTTCATGGACAGAACAGGGCCTGCAGATTCTGCAGTGGTGGTTTCCCGTGTCGCCGGCCCCTCGCGGGGCTGAACACGGAAAGGGTTTGTGAGAGCTCACCTGCGTCCCACGCTGCTCACGCCTGTCGCCGGCCTCGTCCTGCTTTGCCCAGCCTTGTGTCAGCAAGCTTTAAAGCAAGAGCGCCCTCCGCCAAGGGCCGGGCCTCACGCGGAGATACACATGGGCCGCCCCTTGCTCCCCTTTTTTGCACCCCGCTACTGCTTTTCCACCTCTTGCTAAAACTTCGGCTCAAGAAAGTGGGTGGGCTCTTGGCGCAAATCAAGGTCACTACAGAGGGCAGGGGAGGGGCCCTGGTCCCTGGGGTGGGGTCGATGCCGTCCTGTGCGGGAGGGAAGGGAGGGGAAACACCGATCTAGCATTCAGGCTGTGGAAGGCGAAGTGGAGTAAGAAGTCATTTGGGAAAATATTATATTATAAACACATATAATAATCTGTACACACTCATATACATCTCAAAGCGAAGCCTCACGAGGAATTCCATTTCTTTTCAAAGGAAGGCTCCACTACGATAAAGCATTCCTATAGTGGGAATTAACTACAATGAAATAATTTAAGAATTTCATTTATACTCTATCTGTGTTCTCTACACAAAGTCTACAGTAAAGGCTGTGGAGGGGAATGTGTAGGGTGAGATTAGATGCTAATGTATTCTTCAAAAATAGGCAATGACTTTTTTTCTCTATGCACATTTAAAATAACTACATAGTGACAAAAAGCAGAATTAAAAAACCAAATGGCAGGGCTATGAAAGTGTGGCCCAGGTCCTCAGACGAGGGCTTCTGCATATGGGTCCGTTCCGCTGAGCTTACTTAAGATTAGAAATCTCCATCAGACACTTACCCACATATAAATTCTGTGTAAAGCTTTATTTTTTCCCCATCTCCTTAAAATTTTTTTTTTCTAAAAAGTGAAAGAAGAAGAAAAACTCTTACAAAATATAAGGTTCAATATATGAGCAAGGAAGGTCTCAGGAGGCTGCTGGGCAATGTGGCTTTGTGTCCCTGTGCCACGTCAGCCCCGTGTCCTTGGGCTGCACCATGACAACCCTTCTTCCCTCGTCATACTGCCACAGGCTCTGGGCAAAGCTGCCTCTTTCCTTTTTTTTTTTTCCTGGTACTGGGGATGGAACTTAGGACCTTGCATTTGCCAGGCAGGCATGGCGCCACTGAGCTACATCCCCAGCCTCCTTCCCTTTTTGATCTAAGGGGCATGCAATTGGGTTTTCTCTGTTTGCTCACCTGGCTGAAGGTGGCCCTGATGATGGTGGACCAGGTGTCATAGGTACCATAGGCAGGCTGTGCCTGCAGGCATAGGCGCCTGGTTCCAGTTTTCACAAAATCTCCCCATCCTGCCCGAGCCCCTCACTCTTGGTTAGCAAAATGGTTTCCATTCTAAATCATGCCTTCAAGAATGAAAATTCCCATGCTCCTTTCCCCCCTTTCCAAAATGCTTCAATGTCTTTCTTTTTTCTTTCTCCATTTTAATAAGCAAATCGTACCACCATCTTACTCTGCTACGTTCCTTGTAAAAGCTGTATATCACATTAATGGAAGTGTTTACTGCTGGGAATATTTTCCATGTACAATCATCTGTAACCCTCTTATCTCAACTAGTTGCACATTATTAGTTCACATCCAGTTGAATTTATAAATTAACAGAGGTGCCATTTGTCTGTACAAAAATCAATGCATATTTATGAACTTCTTTTATTCAAACAGACTTTCAGAAGCCTGGTAACTTGGGCCGTGTGGCCCCAGAGTGACTGAGGCCTAACACCCCCACTTTGACCAAAGGACAGAACATCTCTCTTACGTTCAGAAAAAATAGCCTTCTGTGTGTTCACTTCCTTTACAAACTGCACTGGAGAAGCTGTTACCAGCTGAATTTGCGATTTCCTTCTGAATTTCCAAGTTATTCTTATTTATTTTTTCCATTTTGTTTTTGCACCAAGGAGACTGCAGTCAAATAATACTCGGCAACTGATTTCCTCTCTTTGGACTGAAAAATTAAACAGATACTAAATTATGACAGCGAATTTAGAAAGGAGGGCTCCAAGGGCTCGAAAGAACACGTCCGGGCTAATACGATGCCTCTAAGAGTACTGCAATCACATCACGGCAATCACCGGAGCGTGCCGCGTAACTAGCTCCTCGGCTAATATGCTTTCTTCTCGGTGATGACTAATCATGTTCTATTAAACAGCGGTAATGCTGGAAGAACTCAACTATACAAGTGTAATGAAGCCAGTATTCTCCCCGGACAGATTAGCTACAACTGATTTGACACATACCATCATAGGGGCTTCAAACCTGACAAACTCTGTGCTTGCTTCTGATTTATGCCGTCAAGCTCCTCGGAGAAGAGATGAAATCCAAGTGCTCCGTTTGGTAGAGGTGAAACGTATTCATGTGCTTAACTGCCAGTTAAGGAGAGCTGCCCCTTCTGCGTGCTCCTCGCCCGAGCCCCTCCCCCTTGGGGCCTGGCCCTTGTTCCCCACTTTGGCTCCAGGATAGGGGTCCCGTGCTGTGTGCTATCATCAAACAACCAAGGCCTGGTGGTCTCTCCTGTGCACTGTTGCCAGTTTGTGAAAAGGAATTGGTTCTGCAGCCTCCTGGTGTCCTCTTCACCCCTCAAGGATGTCCAGGTTTGGAGATTTCATTTGGGGTGAATGGGCGGGTGGACAGGAGATGACCACCAGAAAGGGAAGGGACATGACAGGACTCACGTGCTGTGACTTCCGAGGGCTGCAGCGCAGTAAGGCTGGGCGTCCTGGGTGCAGTGGAAAGGCCACTGTCAGATGATGCTGGGCACCCTGCCACTGCTGTTGTTCCGGTTGTTGTTCTTCCGGGATAGGTTGGGGGTGGCCATGAGCACAAAGCGCTCGTCAGGGCAGCCGTACTGCAGCAGCACGTCGATGCACTCCTGGCTGGATGCCTGCCGGGCATAGGCCAGTGCCGTGTTCCCTTGTGCATCTCGGGTCATGACATCCACCCCGTACTGCAGAGGTGACAGAGGGGATGTCACAAGGTGGGAAGGGGCAGGGCCACGGGGACTAGGGCAGAGGAGCTGGGTTGGGAGCAGTGACTGTCAAGTGCTGGTGGCCACTGGGCCTTGAAGGTGCCCTTGCCCACCACAGCCTGGGGTCAGGCACCAGAAATGAATCAAGGATAACTTCAGGTTTTGCTGTTTCTATTTTGACTTTCCAGTTATAAAAAGAAAAAATAACCCACCTTTAAAAAATCCCAGAGACAATTCATTTTCATAAAAGAAAAAACGTAAGTAACATGGAGGACTGTAAGAGAAAAAATCCCCACCTATAATCCCACCAGAGATAAGGCCTTCGTGAATAGTTTAGAATATTTCCATCTAATGGTTTTCTTTCAATCTAAATGTATAAATGTATAAAAGATAAGACTGTAAAATTTTCTTTTACTGAACACTGGACTGTGATCACTCCTTACATCATTAAAAAGTCCTTAAAGGTACAGCTCATCATATTCATCTAGTATTCCACCAAATGAACAAGATCCAGCCACTCTGTGTTTAATTGTTGCACATTTTGCTCAAAAACTGTCTCTGGCAGGAACAGTGCTGTGATGTTTTAATCTTCTGCAGGATTTCTGATGGAGTGCAAGTGAAGGGTAGAAGGGGAAATACCAGCTGGAAGCATGTAACATTTTAAAGCTTCTTGCTCATGAAAAAGGGTGGGTTCACTCCCACCTCTGCCACTCAGTGTGTGTGTGGGTCTTTGCACACTCGTGTGAGCATGGACCACTGCCACTGAGGGACTCTTGGACACCCTGAGGACACTGCCTGCAATTTCTCATGGGTGGCATTGTGTCCCCCCAAATTGCTATGCTGAAATCCTAGCCCCCAGACCTTGGGATGTGACTGTCTCTGCCCCACTCCAATTGGACTGATGTCCTTATGGGATGCGGAAGCAATGGCAGGAATGCATGGCATGGAGAAGACACCACGAGGGCACAGCCCTGACACAGCAGGAGTCATCCGCTCGCCAGGGAGGGAGGCCTTGGAGAAACTGGCCTGCCTACCTTGGCTGCACAGCCTGCAGAGCCTCGGGGAAAACAATGCCCAGCCTCTGGTATTGTCACTGCGGCCCGAGCCAACTGGACGGAACTGTTACTTAATTTGTCTTCAGTCACCTCTGTTACTACTGTGTGCAAGTGAGGCTAGAAAGTTGAGTGGTTTTGACTCACTGTGTGCATCTAATCTAGTTTTCCCATGCTGCTCATTGCAAAAGGAGATTAAAAACAGCAGAAACGTTCATTGCTTGAGTCTCTACTCCCTACTAGGAATTGTTCCCATTTTCAGACAGGTACCAGTGGCCTACAACCAGGGAAAGAGCGCTGCAAGCCAGTAGCACTGACATTGCCACTGCAGGCCCCGCCCTCTGAGACCCTGGGCAGTCACAGCCTTACAGGCCACGCCCCAGCCATCCTCAGGACTTGCCTGCTGGCCCCACCCCCCAGCCTGCTTGGGCTCGGCCACCTACCCAGATGAGCAGCTGGGCCAGTACCACGTTGCCCTTGCGGCAGGCCAAGTGCAGAGCTGTGCGGCCGTCGCTCTCTCCGCAAGTCTCGTTCACCTCGTCCCGGGAGCCGTGCGCCAGCAGCAGGATGACTGTCCTCAGGTCCTCATCGGCGGTGGCACGCAGCAGGTGCTGGCCCAGGGACAGCTCTGTGCATGGCAGTGGGGCCAGGAAGAGCTTCTGCTCGTACTTTGCCCGGATCCATCGCTCCTTCTCTTCCCTGCAAGGGTTGGCAGACAGGTGTGGTCACCACAGGGCACGAGGGTCCTGGCCGCAGCCCTCTGCCATAGGCCCAGTGGTCAGGAGACATTTAGAAGAAGCCAAGTGGCAGGGACAGGGGTCCCACGTGGCAGGAGGAAGCCCTCTGGGGTTAAGGTCATCGCCGAGGTTCCTAGAGTGGCACCCTCCCTGGCTGTGAGCCAGGACAGAAGGAGTGGGGCCGGAGCCCAGGGAGGACAGAGGGTGGGTTCCCCGCCTGCAGGTGGCTGTGTGCTCCTGCCTTCGACTCCTCTGCCACCGGGGAGGGGTGAGACGTGTGCAGTTTCCCTGGGTTGAAGGAACCTTGCAGGAGGGAATGGCAGGGATTCCAGCAGCTGAGCTTGGTGACTGTGGACAATTCCCTAATCTCTTTGGATGCTTGGGAAAGGTGGCAGAAGGCTAAGAGTCCCTTAGTGACAAAGAACACCTGGGTTTTCTGAGGGGACGGGTTCCAGGGCTCAGCCTAGGGAACAAGGGGATGGCCCTGGGGGCAGACAGAGGACAGGGTGAAGGTGGCTCAGTGTGACAACTGCTCCTACCCTGGGGTCTAAAGAGGATCTGGAAAGAAGGCTGAGAAAAAGAGGAGAGGACGGATGGGGAGAGCAGTTGGGCGGGGGAGGGGGGGTGTTTCTGGTTTCCCAAAAAGAAAAAAAAAAAGCATCCAAAAGAGATCCTAAACTTGGCGGTCCTCTAGAGTGGTGATGGCTCTAGAGCAGAGCCGTTAGGAGACCGAGTGCCCAAACTGCAACCCCAAACCCACTTATTTTTTGCAAAGTGCCAACACTGCAATTAAACCTGGATACGGAGGTTTCAGTTTAGAAAAAACAGTTATCTGGTGCTCGGCTGCCAGGGTGGCCTGGCTCTCATGCCACAGGTTCACTGCCACTGCTCTGGATTCTGCAGCGCTGCCAGGGATGGCGGGGTGGGGTGGGGAGTGGGAGGCTAAAAATTTAAAAAGAACAACTAGAGATTTTACAAGTAGCTCTTGAAATCTTACAAGTAGCCTGGGGTGTGTTCTGTGAGGGCCGGACGCGACCTTTTTGATGAGGACGATGAAGAAAAGCCCAACAAGTGCTGAGAAGCTGTAATTACAGAAGCTCTGGAAGATGCTGATTCACAAGTGGCCTCTCCTAAAACCCAGAATTCCCTCCAGGGGGACAATCAGGGTACATAGCTACCAGCCACGCTAAGAGCCACTTAGGCCTTCCGCCACAGTCTAGAAAGGAAACTCATTACCCATGACATTTCTGCTTCCGAAGTACAGAGGCCAGACCCTGTTTACACCTTTTACCCATGTTTACACTGCGCCAGGGGATCTGGTGTCGGGTGAGCCCTAATCTGTTTTTAAATACTTAGGCAAACAGATTCTTCCAGGAGTAAATCTGGATTAGTTTTGCTTCGCTTCCTGGTACCTGTGAGTGACCCCAGAGTGACCCTGCCGCTTTTCATTCAGTGATTTCCAGGACAAACACTCGTAGCTGAGGGCTGAGCAGCACCCACAAATGCGTCCCACACACTGCTCCGCTTGGCAAAAACACAGGCACACAGTGGGACATCAGAAATGCCGCTAAGGAGAAAGACAAGAAACCCGGGAGACTTGGATACTGTTTAAGAAAACCTATTTATAATATGGTAAACGTTTGTTGATGCATTTCATAAATCATGAAAGAAAAAGCAAAAATGTGAATTAAATGAAAAAGGATAATGGTGTAGGCTATGTCCAGATTTCCAAGTTCCAGTTCGCTAACTCATTTTTTGGGTAGACATTAAAATCAGGCTGTCTTATCTGCTCCGATTGATTTTAATAGTCATTGCCAAATCATCCAGGGATAAAGCAGAGAACTTAACACAGGATCCCTAGTCTTGGCTGCAATTATTACATTTTCTTCTTAATAAAAGCAGTGTGACGCCTTGGCTCTGAGCCCTCTGCTGTGGTCCCTTGGCCAGACACTGTGGGTGACCTGTCCTTGAATACAGTCGCCCCACAGGAGGCTCACTGGAATTCAGGGACACCTACACACAGAGGAATGAGCCACTCTTTGCTTTTGAAAAAATCAGCACCTGTTTAGGACACAGAATAAAGGTGGGTCCAGGTTTTATAGGGCTCAAAATCTCTACCATTTTGGGAGCTGTCTTTATTTTTTATTTTTTAATTTTTTAAATTTTTTGGTACCAGGGATCGAACTCGGGTCCTTGCGCTTACACAGCAGATGGCAAAACCACTAAGCTAAATCCCTGGCCTGGGAGCTGTCTTTAAAAGTAAGGTTCTGGTATTACACACCTGAAATTGGGAAGAAGGGGCAGAAAGTGGACCATGCCAGGAAAGGCCCCAGCTCTGTGGTGACTGTAAGAGCCATGACAGAACAAAGTGCTGACGAGGCTTAGAAACCTCTCCCTCACTCACAGATGCTGGGGAGACTGCCAGGCAATGGAACAAGTGCCAGGCCTCAGCAGACTCCTCTGAGTCAGGAGGACCTGTGTTCTCCACTGGGGATGGCCCCCAGATCTGCTCCGTGTGTGGCTTTTGCCACTGGGTGGAATCACTCCTGCCAGAAACTCAGTGCTTTCCCAAAACCGAAGCCTGCAGTGCCGACTGCCGGGCCCTTTGGGACTGCAGTACTTCAGTATTTTTCATCATCAGGAGGTGACCAGAAGGCTAAGGGAGGCCACTGGCCTCAGGCCTGCATCCAAGTCCAGCTAGTGTGCAAACAGGGCCCAGAGGAGGGGTTCGGGATGCTCCTTCATCCAGTCAAGCCCTTACTCCTCCTGGAAGCCATCTATCCCCTGGGGCCATTGCTCACTTACCAATGAGGGGTGACGCTGAGCTCTCTGCCCCTTCTCCAGTGGCAAAGGAAGAAAAAAGGAAATCTCCCTATGCTGCCGGGCTAAGAGGCTGGGTTTTCAGTGTGTTCTCTCCCCTTCATGTGCACAGTTGGCCTTTCCCATAACTGCAAGAAGCATCCAAGACCCTCCTTTCCTCATCATAAAATAGGCCCAGAGGCAAGTGCCTGAGTCAGCGCTCTTTTGGGATCTGAGATCGCACATCCGGACCACGCGATGGCCATTCTGCAGATAAGCGTTGGCACCCTGATGCAGCAGCATTCGATTCTAAGCCTCCATACCGCTGTCGGGCCAAGGTGCTGAGATGCCTGCTGGGTGCTTGGGTGTCTGTGGACATGAGGTCCCAGGTCCCAGCGTGGTCAGTGTGGGGAGCTGGGTTGCTCCTGGCCAGGGGTCTTGATAAGCCCACTGGTGACCAATCGGCCCCCTTGAGGGTACAGAGGGCCTGGAGACACTGGGGCCAAGGGTGTTCCAGGCTGCACAGTTGCTGGGCCAGTGCCACAGCTGTGAGGCCTGTTCTGGGATATTGTGCCTGACCACTGCTCCTCACCCGGATTCATATACTGAAGCCTTAATCTCTAAGGGGACTCGGTTTGGAGAGAAGGTCTTTAGGGAGATAATTATGATCAAATAGGGATGGGTCCTATCCACAAGGGCAGTGTCCACACAAGAGGAAGAGACGCCAGGCCCCTCTCCCCATGTGCGGAGGAGGAGGGTGACGCCAGGACGTAGTGAGAAGGCACCACTGCAAGCCAGGAAGAGCTGCCATGCCAGAAACCAGCCCTGCTGGCACCCTGATGGTAGACATGCAGCCTCCAGAAACACAAGCGATGCAAGCGCCCTGCTGAAGGCACCCAGTGCGAGGAGTGTCCTGGCAGCCCCAGCCCTCATTCCCGTCACGCCCTGCAGTCAAGACAGGAACGACAGGCGGAGATAGTGGTTTGCTTTTTGTAAGAGTATTCTGTTGAGGGCCGGGGATTTAGCTCAGTGGTTCTGCCGCCTGCTGCGCAAGCACAAGGACCCGAGTTCAATCCCCGGTACCGAAAAAAAAAAAAAAGAATATTCTGTTGAACACCACTGCCCTGGGACGCCATGACCTGGAGGCATAAATACTCCAGCTGTTACCCTGATGTCCCAAGTTCACTTCTGGGATCCCAGCTGGCCTGACCATGCCTCTCATTCTCCCCAAGGAAGGCCAGTCCAAGAGCAGCGAGCTGGCAGTAGATCACCTCCCGTTCCAGTGCCCTGGAGGGCTGCTGCTCACAGCCTCTGTTAGCTAATGAGCTAAAAAATGAATTATTGGTGCGGCTGCCGTCAGCAGAGAGGAGGGGCCAGCTCCTCATCAGACCATGGTGCTGACACACCTTTAGATAAATCAGCCACGGGAGAGCACGGGGGAGGGGCAGCAATGCATCGGAGGCCTCTGACCCGACCCCAGAGATGAAAAGAGAAGACACCTTCCAAGGACCAAGGTAGGTCTTTTCTTGTCATCCTGCCTCAAGTGAGTCCCCTTGAGGATGGCCCTCTGCCTCCCTCAGGGCCATGGCTGGGAGCAGCCGGGGTCTGGGCACAGGGTGTAGGGCCAGGTGCCCTTGGGTATCTAGGGAGGCACCAGGCTGGGACGTGGACACTCTTCTCTGCTGCCTCATGGCCTGTGCCACCCTGGCCTTCAGGAGTGGTGACCCCTCCAAGGCCCACCTGCCCACCCCAAAGACCATCAGCTCGACCGCGTTCCACCGGAGACCTGCAGGGTTCGAACCTGCCGAACAGGGTCACTGCTGGCATAAGGAACCCCTGCGTGGTGCACGTGCTCGCTCTCTCTCTCTCTCTCTCTCTCTCTCTCTCCTGGCCACACTGACAGGGCTGGGCAGCACAGGAAGCCAGGCTGCAGGCTGTATACTGGAACCAGGAACCCCGGGTGCTCAGCATGTGGTCTCCCGCCCAGCACCCCAGTCCCTGGCCTGGCCGGAAAGAGGGGCTGGAGACACTAGGGCAGCCAGAAGCCCAGGTGAGCTGAGGCTCCCTTTGGGGGAAAAGATGGGTACCAGGTCCCCTTCCACTTGCCTGGAGGGAGAAGCAGGAGGCCTCCCTCACCCTCCTGTGGGCGAGAGTGAGGAAGGC